GTTAAACATCTATGCTTTTAAAGTCTTTTATTACTGTTATTACATTTCATTTGCATATTTTAAGCTTTATCTATACCCTTGTTTAGAATTGTGCGCATCTAGCATTTCAAACCTTCTTTCGCCAGACACTGGTTGACTCTTCTGCAGCCCGCTCATTCCGGGGTAGAAAGCCAGTGAGAAATGTGGCATTTCCAGCGTTGTGTTGATTTTGAGTTATTTTTAAGACTTTCGTAGCCATCCTAGTTCAATATCTGGGCCCATCAAGAACTCCAAATGATGAAAAAAGTTATTAAAATCGATGCAACCCAGGCAGTACAAAGAAGCAAAAGTTTGACGTTTCCAGATATAAAGGTATTTGGTTTATTATTTTATGGTGTGAATGCAGCTCTATCTTGCTGTACGTACGAAGGTGAAGAGAATGTGTCCTGGGGGGGTGTTGGGGGGCGGAGCTCCCCACCAACCCTCTCCTCTGGCATGCTTAGTCACGGCAACTAAAATTGATATATTAGGCTGGTTTATTGGTCAATAAGATTTTTTGAGGGCTTGAAACTTGTGAATTCCCGTAGAGTTTTGCCGAAAGGTGGGTTGGGTTACCAAAGAGTTTTTGAATTCTAGCACGTCACCCTGTAGAATTTCAACAATTGCGGTTACATTCGTAGAGTTTTGTCGACCGATTTTAAGCGTTTTTAGTGCTAGTTTTATGCATTTTTATTGTTATTCTTGTTATTTAAGCCTGTTTTACCCCCATAATTTCCCTGATGTACTTCATGCCCTCCCCTGATAACAGGACTAACAAATCGAGATCTTCCATGTAGAAATGATACTCGATCTTCTGAACAATTCATCTGCAGAAGAAACAATGCCAAGAATCGATGGAATCATTGGATTCCCTACAAAGCAAAAGATCAATTTTTTTCAACTTAGTCCCTGAGAGTGCATCGCTCTCTGTAAAAAATACCATTTAGGATGTTATCTATCACCACTTTCTCACTTAATAATACAGACATCTGTCTCTCCAGATCTGCCCAAAATTTACTATGGTCTGTAATGGTAAGCCGAATATTCTGAGGTCAAGCACAACAGCACAACAATTACAGGAACTTCCATGCTTCATGCTCTGGAAAGCCCAAGAAATTGCCACCTCGAAGTTATTGCAAAACTGAGCCATTTTATTTGGATTATCATGGAGATTTACGTCTTATCTTACAGGAATATATCTGGTGGCATTTTGCTGGTTTCAGCAGTTAATTAGAATGAGTCCAGGCAAAGATATGTTAAAACCAGGTAAACATTTACATTTTTCTTTCATATTTCTATAGGCAATCAACCTTTTTTTTCATAATCATCCTGTATTTCTATAGGCAGTATTTGTTACCAAGAGTGACCCTCCAGAGACAGTCTCAAAACAAGGGTATCATGTGAATTCAAACATCCAAACCTAACCTTCCCTACCTTCTACTTATTCCCTAGACTCCCCCTTTAAGCGTTTGTGACATACCTTCAGACGAGCTGTGGCGAGGAGAAATGATTGAAAACCGACTTATAGAAAACAAACATTAACAACTCTAGCTGTGTGAGAGCATTGTGGTCTTACTTCCTGAGCAGTGATAAGCAACAGATGTTTTCATCAGAAATATTCATCATTCTACAGTGCATAAGAGGCAAAAGCAGCTGTAACTATATTGTTTATTGCTCTATTTCTTATGCTCTAAGAGATGGTGGTATCCGTTTCCCTCTATCTCTGGTTCAGTAGCATTAGCCCAGTAGGCTATTAACCCATTCCTTTTTATTCTACCCTTTTTCGATTTCATGCATATGATTTATGTACAATACTATTGTACAGAATGTGATATCTCAGCTAGACTCTACTATTTGCAAAATATTTTCTACTTAATCTGATCCATCTCCTAGAAAATTAACAATACAAGTTAAAATTAGCCTCATTAAATAAAAAAAAGACAATAAAAAATGGATTATAATTACAAAAGATATAATCCCCAAAAAATCCTAAACAAATAAAGAATAATACATTTCCATATCCAATTGAACTATTGCCGTTTGCAGACTAAATACATTATGAGTATATTCAATAAATCTACAATATTTGATGTATAAAACCCCAACTTAATTTATTTTTGGAAATTGATTTATAGTGATTTCCTATCGCCTGTTTTCGAGTTGCTTCTGAAATCCACTTCCTTAAAAGTCAATCTACAGTACTATCACTATTGAAATAACATAAAATAAACCTCTATTCCAAAACAAAATAAACAAAGGAACTTCAAAGGGGACTTACCGTGGTTGTCAGTTTCCGCCATTGTATATTTTTCCAATTTCTCTCTTATCTTCTACCTAACACATCCCCCTCATGCACAAAATTATATTTCACATATACTATACTTCGCCATTATCAATTTTATAACGACACACACACTACTGGATAATAAAATAGGAAATATTTATAAATATTGGTTGACTGTCTACACTTCTACCTCGGTCT